GAACTTGAAACATGAACAACACGTGTTCCACTGTCATGGTATGAAAACCAAAATTAAATGTACAACATGATCTAAATCACATTTGTCAAACTCAAGGCCCGGGGACCAAATGTGGCCCTCACTGACGTCTTATCTGGCCCCCAAGAAGATATGTTAAACGTAAAATACTTTTATCACTTGAATTTTTTCAGGGATCTTTGATTATGATGTTGAATGTGCAGCAGGGAACGTCAAATGAGACCAATCAAACTCTTGTTGAGGAACTTGCAACCAAGAAAAGATGTCAGGTGTCTAACTTGAGTGAATGTAGATTCTGAAATTGGCCCTTAGTTTGAAAAAAAGGTTTTAATTCCAGCCCCCTTTTGTAAGTGAGTTTGCCACCCATGGTTTTATTTCAAAACAAAATACAACTATTCACACTGTTGCTAAAATAATATCACACTTTACTACAACTTTAAAGTTTTAAAATAAATATTAGTTATTAAAAAAAAGATTTAGCTTCATTTATGCTCAAAATAAATTATCTTATTTTTAAAGCTACATATATTTATAGCTACTGTTTATAATATTATTATAAATATTTACATAGTAATTATGTTTTTTAAATTTGATTTAGTTTTTTTTTTTTTCAATGCTGAAGAGTAATGGCTGTCAGTGTCTCTTTAAAACCAACACTGTCAAGCAATTGGAGCCAGCATTCTTAATAAAATGATGTGATTTATTTTAGATGTACACAAAAAAGAAAGACACAAACAAAAATATAGAATAAAAATGAGCTAATTTTGATTGAAGCACTACAGTAAAATCACTTATGTTTGTTTTTTCTGTCGACTTGCTCCTCATAGAGTAACTCTGGGAGCCTGATAGTTACTGTAAGTTTAATATTACTGAGCCTAAAATAGACTGTTTATTAGACCGACCAATATTCTAACTCTTTTAGCTTGTTGTAAATGTTTATTTGAAAACAGAATTGATTGCTTTCAATAATGGTAGGGGATGCTCTTTAAAGTGCCAAGCCATGATTGTCTGTGTTTTTTGCTATGGGAAAAAATTCAATCCAACCATCTTAGTCATTATTTTAAGGAGCAGAAAACTTTTAGGGATTGACTGCTGGTAGCTCCTCACTCTGTCCTCTGTCCTCACTCCACCTCCATGCCCTCTCTAACTGCATCCATATATTTTCTCTTTGGCCTTCCTCTTTATCTTTTTCCTGGCAGCTGCTTTTCCAACATCCTTCTACCAGTATACCCACTGTCCCTCCTCTGGTCATGAAACCATCTCAGTCTGGCCTCTCTAATTTTATCTCCCAGTTCTTCAACCTGTGCTGTACCTCTGATGATCTCATTCCTAATCTTATCTACCCTTGTCACTCCTAAGAGGAACCTCAACATCTTCATTTCTGTCACTTCCAGTTCTTTCTTCTGTCTTTGTCAATGCCACTGTCTCCAGACCATCCAACATAGCTGGTCTCCCAACTGTCTTGTAAACTTTTCCTTTGACCTTTGCTGACAGCCTTTTGTCGCAAATCATTCCTGAAACTTTTCTCCATCCACTCCATCCTGCCTGGACTCTCTTTTTCACCTCTTTACCACACTCCCCATTTTCCTGGACAGTGGACCCCAAGTCCTTGAAGTCCTGCACCTTTGCGACGTCTGCTCCTTGTAGCCTCATTGTTTCCACCGGCCTCCCTCTCATTCACACACATGTACTTGTCTTACTACAACTGACTTTCATTCCTCTTCTTTCAAGTGCATACCTCCACCTCTCCAAGTTCTCTTCCACTTGTTCCCTGTTCTCACCACAGATCACAATGTCATCTGCAAACATCATAGTCCATGGGGATTCCTGCCTGACCTCATCTGTTAGTCGGTCCATCATCAGAGCAAACAAAAAGGGGCTCAGAGCTGATCCTTGATGCACTCCCACCTCCACCTTGAAGCCATCCGTCACTCCTACAACACATCTCACCACTATCCTCATGCATGTCCTTTACCAGTCTAATATACTTCTTTGCAACTCCAGATTTCGTCATGCAATGCCACACCTCCCTTGGCACCCTGTCATATGCTTTATCTAAATTCCCAAATACACAATGACCCTCTCTGTACTTCTCCATCAGCATCCTCAAAGCAAAGATGGCATCTGTGGTGCTCTTTCTCGGCATATAACCATTAGTCTACCTGCATTCTTTTGCCTCCACTCTTATAGGTCACTCTATGTTCCTCCCTTTTTTGTAAATGTGTTGACTACAGTCATTTCTATTCTCTTAGCAAAATTCACCATCATCTGTTCTTCCTGTTTTTTTTCCTTGGCAACTTTAAACACACCGTCCAAAGGTTTTTTTTATTCAAATATACCAAAGTGCTGCTAATCATCAAGCTAAGCAGCTCCCTTTAGATAAACACTGTGGTATTTTTTACACTCAAATATCAAAGCAACTTTTTTTTTTTTGTTTCCATGGCAGCATAGTCAACTCCTGGTATTAGTGAAGGAGGCAAGTGGGCCACCCTGGATAGGTGTGTGTGCACGTGAGTGTGTGTTCAATATATAGACTTCAAAAGATCTTTAATTTTAGCGTAAGGTCTATGATGTGTATTTTAGTCGGTGGCTGCATGTCCTATTAAAATGTAGTCATCTTTAAATCTTCTGCTGTTTATGACCTAAAGCCCAACAAGCACAATTATAATCAATTATATAAATCTGAACTATTTGGAGGATGATGATTCACTCTAATAATATCAAGTCTTGCAAAACAATTTCCCACCATGTTATATAATTTCATACAGATGGACTATAAAGTTGGTAGGCAGCTACCTGATATAAACAAGTTTATTTTTGTTCTTGAGGTCCCGAGTTATCGGCACTTTTTGGGTTTATATGATTATTCTACCCCATAGGTAAGGCAGCCGACTTAAGACCCAAAAGTCCCACGTTCGATCCCAAGTAGGAATGCACGATATATATGGTACATGGTAGAAACGATAGAAATTTAGCCTACAATAGAGATCCGTCTTCTACCGGCTAACCGCAGTAATGCTGTGTCTGATGTAAAATCTGAGTTGTCAGTTTAATCGTTACTTTTTTTAGTTGAAAACTGTGCGTAAGTGGTGTTAAAGTATTTTCTTTGAGAGCTAATTAGCGAAGCTACAAGCCAACTACGGCCGGCTTGCCGTAGTGTTGCCGTATTCAGACGCATGCGCAAAACGCTGTGTTCCGTCAAAAGTTTTTTTTTTTTTTCCGTCAAAAGTTAAAGTAAGCGTTGGTCAGCTTTAGAGAAACCTGCTCTCTGATCTGTGAAAAGAACGCTGCTTTGTGCGATTTTACTGCGAGAACCTCTGGTTAAAGCTACAGAGGAAACTGGTCACCATTTTGTATCAGCTCTCCTTAAAATGGAAGGAGACGCCCACTAGAGGGTTGGAGGGTGAAGTGTTTCAGTGTAAAATGCTACTCTGTTGCTTTTCATTTCTTAAGTGAGAAGACTGGAAACTGTTAAGAGTTTACAACATATTCTTTTGTTTAAAACATATGGCTAAAACTACATTTGATATCTGTTGCACTGTTTTGCACTACAAGAAATTATTGATTTGTTTATTATTTCAAAACTCTCTGGACCTAGTAGTGGAATTTTCTTAATTGAGATTATTTTGTGGTATAGCAGTTTTCAAAATAAATGATGGCAGAAGGACATCCTATGCTTTTTAAAAATTCCTATTGAAAATTTTATACCAAAAACATATCGTGATATATATCATTATCGCCGCCCTTCACAATACATATCGTGATATGAATTTTATGCCATATCGCACATCCTTAATCTTCAGCCATTCCCACATAGTGTCTCTGAGCAAGACACCTAATCCCTAATTGCTCCTCTGGCGCTTACATAGTTGCCCACTGCTCCACCTGGGTGTATCCCAGGTGCGATGGGTTAAATGCAAAAAACTAATTTCGCCATTGTATGGGAACATACAGTGATGACAACTCATAGTACTTATGTTATCTTATCTTTAATGTGTCATAACACAACCTGTGTATTTATGTAAAGGTAACAACATAATAAAGGCTACGAATATAAGTGAACACTTTAGAAGTATAGTCATAATTATATTTTGATCTTCAAGACAACAAGATGTCCAGCAAGAGGTCCATCTTAAAATACAACAACAACAAAAAACCCCGACTAATTATTTGTTCTCGTCTGTGTATCAAGTACAACATTTAGGTTCATAACTCTTAATACAGAGTTTTACACAGTTCTAATACTGCTTTTTCATAGTACTGTATGATATTTTTTAGCTTGTATATTTGAACTGAGGTACATAATCATTAACTTGTAGTGGGAGTGGCTTTTGTATTTCTCTGCTATAAATTCCTGTACTGTTGATTATAAAAGCCACTGAACACTCGTAACTTTTTCCCAAGTGGGTCAAATGGGGAAACTATATTTACATTTGTGACCAACTCTTGTCTCTTACTGTTTCCAATAAGTTCAAATGATACTACAACACAACCCTCATTACAGCAAACAGAATTGTAAAGTCAAAAACGGCACTTTTCATTCACTCGAACCTTTCCACTGTAGTAATGTAATGATTTCCTTTGTCAATAGCTGTGGCAGATTAAGTTGTTTCATACCTGAAAGTGTGATAGAGAAATGATCCTTGTGATTAATGTTTTTAGGCATCATAAAATATAGTTGTGTCTTTTAGTCAGTTACCTTAATATGTTATCAGCTGTTATTAAAATGTTTCGTTCCACTGCACCATCTGAGCTAATACTCCAGATATCTCTTTAACCAGTAATATTGTTCAAATAAATTGTTGATTCTATTATCAGCACATCAGATTTCAGTTGACATGAACATTTCATTAAGCATTAGTCAATGAAAAGGTAGAATTATATTTGCGATTATAAAAATATAAAAAAGCACCAGTCCCATACTTTGTTCTGCATACTAATGCACATTTCTTTTTTTTATTCTACTTTTTTTTCAAAACTAGTATTGTTTCCGACGGTCTCAACAAGATGCCACTGGGTCAGGATTGCCATGCGTGGAAAAAGAAGACCTCAGATGTGAAGGAGAAGTACGAGTTCAGAGAGATACTGGGAACGTAAGTGTGTTTTTGCCAGCAGCAAATCCCTTTTGTGGTTCAGATTTGCATTTTGCGGTTTTAGCACTTTGTAGCGCAGTTATCTGAACATAGGTGTCGGTTTGACAAATTTAAAGCAAATTTGCTAATTGTTTTTATAGCTTTTTATAAGTTGTTTACCTCTGTGTACGTGCATGTAAATTTTGACCTCCTAATTATGATTTATTTAAGTACTGAGTAAGAAAAACACACCCTTGTAGCTTTGTTAGTAATAAATGTATCTGATGCTGTTTATATTGGTGCATAATAATGTTTAGGAGCATGCAACTCAGTACTCCTCTAGTTAATGTTACTTCATAAACTGAGCGTGAAGCAGTATTTAGTGTTCAGACCAGGTACTAATATGCATTCTGACTGATTTCTTCATTAGTGCACAGCTCGAAGTCTGAGTAGTTCACACTTGGCAGCCGTCCTGAGTGATCAGATTTGAGCTGATTCACAGACGAATGGTCTGTGTCACAGTAAGCTGTCAGCTGAGCACCAAACAGGACATCGGCAGATCTCCCAAAGTTTCTGCGAAATCATTTTAATTTAATCCGATAGGCTTCATTTTGTAGCCTAACAGACATAATATGAGAAAAATAAAAGAGCGTAAAACGATTTATGATCGCACAGATCGCTCAGTATCAGCTCATAAAGACAATTTAAAGCCGTTATCTCCTGAAACGCTCTAGGCTTGCTGGCAGGCTGTCAGCAATTTTATTTTTCCTGTGTACACAAGCACTTTGTATAACATAAAACATTTAGTTGGAAAGCTCATATTCTTGCTGTGTTATTGACACAGATTATGAAGTATTACAATGTGGTAACATCAGATACAGTCAGCTCCAAAAACCATAAAATAAATGTTCTCCCTCATTAAGTGTCCTAGAAATTGACTTACCGGGTAGATATCAACTTGGCAAAAGTGTGTTTTTTTTAACATAAGACCAGCAATCACGTTGATAAAACTTATTCCTGAAATAATAAGATGTATATTTTACATTAAATTAATTAAGAGTGCACACTGATGTTCAGAGTTCAGTATTATAGGTGCCGTATTTTTCGGAGTATTAGGTGCACTGAAAATCCTTTAAGTTTCTCAAAAATCGACAGTGATCCTTATAATCAGGTGCGCCTTATGTATTAATTCTGGTTGTGCTTACCGACCTCGTGGTACACGGAGCTCAAAAATCTATCAAAATGAACTTGTTTCGCTTAATGCGCCTTATAGTCTGAAAAATACGGTACTTTCTGGGAGCAGTGTTGTACTGTTGCCGTGTTGTGGATTCCTGAGAACTTTTGACTTTAAAGAAAATGTGTCTGGTCCTTTTGCTTTAAAAAGGCTTTTTTAGCCCAACATGTCAATTTATTCTAATGTTATTAAGACTATTATTTGCTCATTAGGCTCTGCTGGGTTATATTTGGTCCCTTTGTCCCTCCCATGGTAAACGTTTGACAAGCTGTATTTCTTCACGAGCCTCAATGTAAATTTAAGGGTCATGAGACAAGATGTTTATCCAAGGTGTCATACTTTGGTATCTTTTAACACGCCCACATCCTTGTTTGTTCAGGATTAAGTCATGGGTGCACTATGCCAATACAAGTGAAAGCCTAAGCATACGGATGTTATGAAAACTTACAATTTTTTACAGCTCACTGTTGCAGAGGTTAACAAAAAGGTGTCAACTTGTCAAATGTATTTGCACTTGCGACTGTAGCCATTGTAAAAAAAAAAATAGATTGAGGAGCTGCTTACAGCATGCCTACTACAAAGGGTCATGCAGAAATGGATTAAAATGTTTTAGGAGTTTATATTTTTAAATATCACTGATAACAGGCTTATATATTCTTAATGCTAAATTAAGCGAGCACAGTTTTTGTAAAATAAACCTGCTAATTTTTTGACTATTTATCAAAGTTTTGTTGTTGAAATCTTGTAGTGTTTTTGCCGTGCACCTAAATGAAAGATCCCAGAGGACATCTGAACATATGAAAAAGCCTTCCAGTCCTCCCAACCTTCTCAGCTGCCCCCGGTTTGGGGCTGAGCTCGTCTGTGGAGAGATCGCCCGCTCGCTGCACTGAGCTCTGAGAAACACATTCATTTGCCATTGCTGGGTTGTTGTCTTGGTAACAACAGGAGACACTTTCCATAATGGACTCAAACAGTCACTATGGAAACAAAGTTTTTGATTTGCTATTAATAATCCACCACCAGGCTACATATGTGTGCACTGTGCATGAGATAAACTCTCTTATACAGAAAAATGCAGAAAGGAATGAAAGATTTTGTAATTTTTTTTTTATTGATTTGCTCATATATGACAATGGTAGAGATTTACTGTCAGTGCCTTAATTTGATTGTCAGATTATCATGTTTGCAGCACACAAACTATTAATTTGCCTGTTCAGACAAAAAAAAAAAAAAAAAACTCTTGCTTTAATTGAATGCTAAAGGTGTACTTGAATGCATCACATGTAAAAAGTGATTAGAGTAACAAAACTTCATCAGTCATTTGGCTTAAGAAACAAAGTAAAATAAAGTAAACACAATGCGCAAATACTCATCACATTCAATTTTACTTAAAGTAACTTGAGGCAAAGCATTTTTTTAATAAAACAATTTGTATAAATGCTATTTAAAAAGCTCCACAGGCCACATTTAAAATGAGGACAAAGCATGAATAAACGTGATCAGTAGGAATATAAAAATCTAAAATGAAGAAGCAGTGTAAAAATGATGACACCAGTGGCATGTATCTGCGCTGATAATCCCCGGCTGGAACCATATGTCCTTTAATCAAAGCAGATGGGGATTACCAATAGCACTTTGACTGCAATCAACGCAGATTTTCCTCTGCTTTGCTCCCATTTTAATTCGTTACTATTTAAATCACCCACCACGTCCTCTGTCTTTCGTCCTATTTGTGTCCGGCACGACTCGAAACAGATTATTTTTTTCTCCTACAAATTCAGGCCCATTCAGTCTTGTCACCTGTTCTTTGTGTCCTAGATTCACAGTGTGCTCACCGTAGACCAGGTGTCCCAATGCACCTTGCTGCGCTTTTGATTTTTAGCTAAAAATAGTGTGTTTGTTATACATGGATGGAGACATATGACTGTTATGGACTAGTGGTTCCCAAAATTGGAATCAAGACCTCACTGAATTGTGAAACATCAAGTTTAGATTCTTGACAAGGTTAAAAAATTACAAAAGACAGCTTATTTTTGGCCTCAGCTGTTACAATATATAAAAGTGTACTTATGTTGCTGTTATGCCTTTAATATCAATGTTCGGCGATCTAAACCAAAATTAATCAGGGTCACAAGTCTGCGCTGTGGTTCTTTTCTGGGTCAGAAGATGAGAAGTTTGGAGAGCCATCGTATGGACCAAACTCCAAATCCTGGGTTAAACATGGTTCTAAGACTAGAAGTGGCTCTTGGACAATTTGCATTAGAATCTTGATGTCCTCCGATGGAAACAAAGTAATATTAAAAACATTAAATATATATACTTTTAATAACTTTTTGTGAGACACCCAAAAAACAAGCCAACTTTAACCCCAAGACTGAAGCTTTTGGACTAAAATAAGCCAGGTTTGTAATATTACTTGTGTGCTGGCAGAACCAGGCTATAGAAAAACAAATGGACTCTTAATGTTGCATCTTTTATCCATGAGCTGGCCTCTCAGTCTTTTGTGCAGACTGTGCATTTGATAAGCCAGGATTGCATAGATAATGGTAAAAAAAAAAGACTATTACCGAGCATGGTAACCATTCTATGAAAAATAAAAACGACCTCAGGGCTCATTATTAATTCTAGACCTCAAAGTAATATAAAAAAAAACAGGTATAAAACACTTGATGAAAAAAAACGGGAAAACTCTTTGACTGGAAGAAACCTCCAGCTGAATCAGACTCCTGGTCGGCAGCCATACATGAAAACTGTCTTATAAAAACAACAAATAATAATAAAAACAGCAGAACCGTGGCCTTTAGAGCTTCATTTAATAAATGAATCAGATCAGAGTTCATGGTTTAACGAGCAGCGTTAGCGTCTGTCCTGTTGGATTACAGTATTTAACTTACAGTATTTAACTTCAAAGACAAATCTCCATTTCATTGAATGTTATGGACAATAAAGTTGAATTGATTGATTGATTGAACTTCTACTCATCCTATAATATTGTTCTGGGTTCTCCTTTTTAGATGTTGATCTTTTTATCTTAAAGCCTGGAAATAGTTTCTGTTGAAAACGTTCCCACACTTGGCTGCGGGCTGTGAGATTTCTGTGCACGTCGAGAAGCTGCACTAATGATGCATGTTGACTTTTCTGACATTTAAACACAAGTTCTCATGCTGCAAGCAGAACAAGGAAATTCTTGGCGTAATTCACCCAGAATACAAGGCAAAACACATCGGAGATGGAGCAACAAGGGACAAGGCCTGGGAGGAAGAGGAGGGTGAAAGCAGGAGAGTGTGGTGTAATCATCTAAAATCATTAGCGCTGATGGACCGGCAAGCCTGCCTCCATCAAACGGTGACCCACTGACCCCTACCCTCGCTGTATTGATCTGGAAAGAGAAGTGTTTGTGTTCACGGGCCTCATTACACATAATGCATTTAGGCTATACTTGTTAGCCTTTTTTCTGCTCCATTGTGTGTTTTTACGAGCCGTATGTTCATGTTAGATGTCCGTTTTGTTTCTCTCTGTGGTTTTCTCTTGTTGGCCTTTGCCTCCAGTACTCCTGCCTCCCGTACCTCAGTGAATGAACAAAGCGCAACGGTTCCACATCTTTACGTTTCTTATAACAGCGAGCACTTTAGATCACACGCGATTTACTGGATACGCTGATCTCTTGTTAAAACACTGCTTTAGATTTCATCCTCTTCATCATTAGGATTAATTGATTTTAAAAAAATCAATAGGATGAAATATTAACGTCATTAATAACTGAAGATGAGCTTAAACTGTTGAATCA